ACATGCAGTGTTCTTGTCACTCATACCTCAACTTACATTCCTCTTCTCAGAGAGACATTTCCCCACTCCTGACCTGAATAGTCACCCAGGCCCTGTCATACCTGCACAGTCCTTACGACTCTCCAGTTCTGATTTGTGTATTATCTGCTCCATCAGAGCAGAGACCTTGTCTGTTTTGACTTTTTTGTTATTATTTATTTCTTCACTGGCAGATTCTCTATATTAAGAATAATATTGTTGTTGAATGAAGGAATAAATGCCCTGGTTTATCTTATGCTTTCCTATAGCTGTCTGTTTCTGCAGTTTCCTTTTCCAGTCACTGCCATATTTAATTAGCAAGATCCTTTAACTATGTAGATCTTCTTGACTGATGACTGACTGAATGAATCCTCTTTAATTTGTTAGTTAATAAATGCTAGCATGGCTGGCTTTACCAATCGAGACAGGCCTTACAGTGCTACAGTATATATTTTGGAGCCAGGCTTCCTGAATTCAAATCCTGTCCCTGAGATTTACTAACTGGGATACTTTGGCCAGGATTCAGCCTTTTCATGCTTTAAATGGAAAAAAGATAATAATTTTGCCAAATGGTACCTTAAGGCACTTTGGTGACACAGTGGTTAAGCACGTAACTGCTAACCAACAAGTTAGCAATTTGAACCTAATAGCAACTCCACCAGAGAAAGATGTGACAGTCTACTTCCATAAAGATTACAGTCTGAAAACCCTACTCAGCAGTTCTACTCTGTCCTATGGGGTCACTCTGAGTCAGAATAGACTCAGTGGCAATGGGTTTGGTTTTTGGTTTTTAATGGTACCTTTACTTCATTGGGTTGTTTTGAGAATTAAATGTTAAATAAGTTGATAGGTATAAAATAGTTATAGTCCCTGGCACAAGATAAATGTTAGCCCTTTTTTATTATTAATCAGAGAAGCAAAAAAATGCCAAATGCTATCAAGCAGTATTTGGGAAGGAGTAGAGGGAGACACATTCATTGATCCCCTTCCAGCATCACAAACGATATCTGGTTGAGTTATGTCAACCTCTGAAATGAGTATTATCTTCATTTTATAGGAGCTCTGGTAGCATAGTGCCTAAGGCCCTTGACTGCTAACCAGAAGGCTGGCGGTTCAAACCCACCAGCCACTCCTCAGAAGGAAGGTTGGGCAATCTATTTCCATAGTGATACTGCCTCGGCAACCCAAGGAGGGGTCGCTATGAGTCAGGTCCGACTTGACGGCACATAACAACAACAACAACTTCATTTTATACATAAGGAAACATTTTCCAAGAGACTAAATAGTTCACACAGCTCTTGAATGATTGGGATGTATTGGAACTGAGATCAGACTTCAGTGCTCACGGTCTTTCCTATCCTAGAAAAAACAAGTTTCTACAGTTTTCTTAGACATTACCTTTTGCCTGTGTTGGTGGGGCCTGTTTCTGAAATGTAAACTTCCTTTCTTTATTGGTCTAGTGTACCAAAGCAGGGTTCAGTGAGGAATCCTGATAGATTAGCCTATTGAGTTGTTTTTTAAGAACTAGAATTCTACTTTAATATTTGATTCACTTTAAAAAAAAAAAAAATCCAGGAGGAAAAATGAAAGTAAATATAACTAATTTTCTGATGTTGTAATCAACAAGACTCTTGGACATAAGAAATAAAATTTTAACTCAGATTAAAGTTTAAGCATTAGATTTACATCTTCCTTCCAGATAGCAATATCAGAGGACAAGGGCTCCCTCCTCCAGCCCCTCAGCATCCACACAGCCCCTATCCTGAAGCACAGTATCCTGGAACGGTAGTATTCTGACTGACAGCCTGGATCGTTTGTCTACTTTCTGTGGTGGATAGTGTCAGTAGCCCCATCAGAATCACATGGATGGGACAGAGTATTTCTTAAAGAATGAGATACAGAACAGACAATAAAGTAGTATGTACTAATACATTTATTCTTGTCCTATTGTTATTGTTAGAGAGCCCTGGTGGTTAAGTGTTCAGCTGCTAACAAAAAGATTGGCAGTTTGAATCCACCAGCCACTCTGCAAGAGAAAGCTGTGGCAGTCTGCTTCCATAAAGATTTACAGCCTAGGAAACCCTCTGAGGCAGTGCTACTTTGTCCTACAGGGTCACTGTGAGTCAGAATCAGTTTGACAGCAGTGGAGTTTTTTGGGGGGTTTTATTTATTATTGGCAAGAATCACAAAAGTGAAGGGGTTTATTACAGATTTTTAAAGAGGATTGTGGCCAAACTGAAAAATATTACCATGATTCCATTCTTTTATGCTCCTCTTACAGAAACATTAAAATATAACAAAAATTTTGCAAATCAAAACCACAATGAAATATCATTTCTCTTCTCATAGGATGGCTAAGATAAAAAACAAACAAAAGGAAAAAAAAATGTTGGCAGGGATATGGGGTTATTGGAACCCTTATCCCTTATCCATTGTTGATGGGAGTACAAAATGGGACAGCTGTTGTAGAAAATAGTGTGGTGTTGCTCAAAAACCTAAAAATAGAACTATTGTATGACCTAGCAATTCCACTGCTAGGTATATACCCAAAAGACTTAAAAGCAGAGACTCAAAAAGAGACTTGTACACCAGTGTTCACTGCAACACAATTCACAATAGCCAAAATGTAGAAACAACCTAAATGTCCATCAGTGGGTCAATGGATGAACAAAATGTGGTACATACCTATAATGGAATACTCCTCAGCCAGCAGAGAATATTCTTGATACATGCTACAATATGGATGGAGCTTGAAGACATTATGTTAAGCAAAATAAACCAATCAGAAAAGGACAAATTTGTAGGACCGTGCTTATGTAAAAAGACGAAAGGCAAACATGTAGAGACCAAAGTTTATTTGTGGTTATTAGGGGCAGGAGGGATGGGGAAGCGAGGGTTAACAGTGATGGAAAAATTGCCTTAGGGGGAAGGTTACACAGTCGATTATTGTAATTGCTGTTGAGAAGTTATATACCTGTAAAAAGTTGAATTGGCAAAAGTTATGTGACAGATATATTTACAACAATAAAGAGTCATTGCTGAGGCCATTTATGTACAACCAAACACCTCATGGGTTTTGGTTCCTTGGTTTGGAGATTTAGGGTCATAGTTTTATGGGACATCAATTAATTGGCCTAATAATGTATTTAGTACTTCTGTTCTACCTCCTAGTTCACTGTATAGTGCCTGGGGTCTTAAAACCTTGCAAGTGGCCATCCAAGGCACAACAATTGGTGTCTGTTCACCTGGAGCAACACAAGAAGAAGTCAGGAATAGGAGGAAAAATATGGAATGTATGGCTAACTGTGTTCATGAACAACTGCCTCTTTTGCCATGCATGAGACCAGGAGAACTGGATGGTACCCAGCTATCATTGCTGAACATTTTGATCAAAGATTCCAAAGCAGAATCTTGATCAAAAGGGGGAAATGCAAAACAGAATTTCAAATTCTTATAGATTATAGAGTTTCTGGAGCCATGGAGGGTAGGTGAACCCGTAGAACTAGCCCTGACATAATCTTTAAACCTTAAGCCAAAAAATACCCCATAAAGTTGTCTTAAAACCGAACAATAGCTTAATTATAAAAAAGGTCTGCCTTGAGTATTACGCTCTTTTAAGAACTGTCTGTACGGGATCAAATTAACAATAGCAACTGGAAAGATTAGATAGGAATCTTAGGGGGCAGTGAGTGAGTTAATGGGGGAGGAACAACTCAGAAAAGGAGGGTGAGAATGGCTGCACAACTCAGAGAATGTGGTCAGTGTCACTGAATTGGACGTGTTGAACCTGTTGACTTGGTGTATGTTTTGCTATGTATATTCTCAACAACAACAAAATAAATAAAATTTATAAAAAAATATACAACAAACACTGCAAGCAGTCACGTTGATGATCTTTTGGCTATCACGTGTTTCTGACAATTGATACACTGTCTCTGAATCCTGGTTAAATGACAATAGCCAATAGTGGAAAATTCTATTTGGGAAAACACGCAATGTCTATGAATATCATTTGAAATCTATGAAAATCCATTAAACTGTATTTTTCTGATAGATTAATTTATAGGAACAGAGGGGCAGAGAAAGAAAAAATAAGGTCGTTACTTTGAAGAGAAAGACAAGATAATAATCCAATCACCAGGGGAGGGGGGAGAGAATGAATACCATTCCATCTTGACTTTTCTTCACTCTTAGGCCCTTTTATTTTAATTTCAAGAAAGCTAATGTGTCAAAGGTGCACTCTCTACCAATGAGAAGGATGAAATGCAGTCATTTCTGTTTCAGCAGTTTCTATTGTAGGGCCTATCATTTAATTTTCAAAAGCTTTGGTTCTTTAAGAGTAGAGTTGGAAAAAGCAACCTTTTGTGCGAGTGAATCCACTACTAATGTCATAGACAAAAAACAAGATTAATGATATTCAGACTCAAATTTTAAGCACATTCCCAGTAGGAAATACATGTTACACTGTTGTTGTTAGGCACCGTTGAGTCAGTTCCAACTCAAGGCAACTCTGTGTACAACAGAAGAAAACACTGGCCAGTCGCATTCCACCCTCACAGTTGTTGCTGTTTGAACTCATTGTTGCAGCCACTGTGCCAGTCCTTCTCATTGAGGGTCTTCCTCTTCTCCAGGGACTGGTCCCTCCTGATAACGTGTCGAAAGTACGTGAGACAGTCGTGTAATCCTCAATTCCAAAGAACATTCTTGCTGTACTTCTCCCAAGACATGTTACACTGGATCCCAGTAAACACGTGTAGGCACGACTAAAAGTTTTACAAAATGTTATTGTTATTAGCTGCCATTGAGTTGGCCCTTGTCTCATGGTGACCCCATGCACAATGGGATTCCATAAGGTTTTCATTGGTTGATTTTCAGACGTAGAGTGCCAGGCCTTTCTTCCCAGTCCATTTTAGTCTGGAAGCTCTGCTAAAACCTGTTCAGCATCACAGAAAACTCCACCAATGGAGGGATGGTGCCTCATGTGCATTGGCAGGGAATTGAACCCTGGTCTTTTGCATGAAAGGCGAACATTCTACCACTGAACTACCACTGCCCTCTAAGGAATAATAGTTAACCCTAATAATACCACTATGCACTCTGACTTTTTTATTCTTTTTTGTTCTGGTCTAGCCTACTCACAGTTCACTGTGGGGTTTGCTTTTTTTTTTTTTTTTTAATGTTTTGCTTTTTTAATGATCATAACCACTAAGGGTCCATAATCTTTACTTTGTCCAGTGGTGATGGAGAAGTAGGGGGTTGAGTGGTTGCAGGCAAGAGGAGCAGGCAGGGGTGATCCTGACAGAGTTAATGTTCACCACTGCTCACTCCTCCAGCCTCCACGCCTCCATCCCACACTTGTATTCATTCTTGGTTTCCCCAGAAATGCTGCTCCCATCCTTTAGTGTGACCACGTCTTTGTTCTTCACACACTACCACTTTGTTTGCTGGCTGAGCCACACAAGCCTTATATCTCCACTCTGGGCACTGATTGGGTAAAGGCTCAATGGCCTTCACATACCCAAAGGAAAAGACCATGCCCCTTTCTCACCCCAGCTTCAAGCAAAGAGAAGAGGAGGGCTGGACTAAAAGTTTATAGGGAGGGACTATCCCCAGACAAGAAACCCAGTCCTGGAGAAGCCTGGAATGGCGATGCCACCCGAGGTCTGGAGAAGATGGGCGGGCATGTGCTAAGACCAGGGAAACCCATTCAGAATTACACAAAGTCTCGCTCACTCCCTCTTCCCCTGAATCTCGCTGCCTGCAGGTAAATTCTACTGTAAACCACACTACTGTTACCGACTCTCCGGCTACGCACAAAGGAAGAGACCAGCAGTGGCGCCTCTGTCTGGAAAGGTAGTTGTCATTCATTCTGTAAGTGGGAGAGAAGTGGCAGGTGGCACTTTAGTGGTAGGAAATTGTGTTATTACAGGCCCGGGTGTGGCTGAGCCTGTCCCACTGAAGGGCCGTGGAAGCATAGCCTCTCCTGCGAGTGGGGAGGGAACCAACTTGCCAGGAGTAATCCTGTGTCGCGCTTCATTAAAATAATGTCCCACCATCCACTGCCTGAGTGGTACAGGGAGATTGTATGGACACTCCCTTCTGCTTACTTTACATGACAGGTGATTTTTGCCTTTATAAATATGCAGCTTTTTGAGAGAAGGTCACCCTGATGCTGAGGACAATTTCCTATTCATGTTTCGCATAATTAAAGTTCTCAGGGCAGTGGAGAGAGAAAAGGCAAATTAAGGAGGAGTCCCTGTTTGAGTCTCTGTTTGCTCTACTGTCACAGCTGAGAGCAAATGGAAGCAAGAGCTGATTCTTGCTGTCCACACTGAAAAGGAACTTGGCTAGAAATAAGTTCTGTTCTGGCTGCCAGTTCTTTTAACTCTCTATTCTGTGGATTACTTATTTAAAGGGCAACAGCAGTTTAAGCCCCAAGAACTTTTTTTCTTGTTTTTTTGTTGTTGTTGTTGTTAAGTGGCTTCTCACCTGTCCTTGTCAAGTCATGCCAAGTATTCCCTTCCCAATATGACTATCACCTGTCAGCACTCAGGCTAGTTAACATGCACTTGAGAGGTTTCTGTGGCCTGGAGAGGGGACTTATAGGGAAAGGTAGACTTGGAAGGGTCTAGGCTTTGACTCCTGGTGACTTCCATGGTAAAACATGTCCCAATTTTTAAAAGAAAGATGTACGTGAGAATACAGTTCTGGGTTGATTGGGGAGATTGGTGTGATAAGCTAGCTAGTCAGATTTCATTGCCTTCTGTGACTTGAGTGCTTCCGTCAAAGAGTCACCCTATTTTTCCTTATGAACTTTCGTAGGAGGCCAAAGGACCGCTACAGGATGGCCCCACTGCAGACACAAATGGACGGGCCGGCACTGTCACCAGCACGGCGGAGAGAACCCCAGGTAGCCTCACTTCCTTGTTTGGCTGGGTGGTGCGTCACTCTCTTGGCCTCTGTGACAAGGCCAAGGGAATGAGCCAGCACCTCCAAAGCAACATTTCTTCGATTGGGCATGAAGTGGCCCAAAACCCTTTGGACTCCTTTTTCATGTGCCAGCTGCTTGCATTTGGAGTCCCCTTTCTCTATGGCCTGTCAGAGGTGCTGGTCCAAATCAGAGGGGAGTTTCACTGGCAGACCATGAGCCAGTAGGGGCACCATCTGGTCAGCAGTATCACTCAAGCTTCAAGTAATAGTTATCTAAAGCCTCAGAGTATTGTCATGGTGATGCCCAGGGCCTGCCCGCATCCATCTAAGACTTTGCGGTGACTAGTGCAGGTCCTGTGTAGGTAAACAGGACTCCACAACAGGCTGCTTTTATCCTGGACCCAAGTGAGAATCCAGAGTTGCAGGGCCTTTGTGTAGTTGTCTGTTTTGGACCACTTGGACAGCGGGTGGGTTTTTGCTAAGTAAGGCCCCATGTTCAGATTGTGTTTACCTGAACTTGAAATTGTTACATCTCATCCCCTATTTAGGTCACTGTGACCCTGGATTAGCTGTCACTGCTCTTCTATTTGACCTATAGCCTCTAAGGGACACTCTCTGACCTAACCCTACTGGGGCATTTGAACTTCTAAGAAAGGTTAAGCCTTGACTTGTGACACTTTCATTAATTCACTTCCTTGCATCAGGAGGTGAATGACACACCATCTTTACCTTCAAAAACACATTTATTCTGGTCACAGCAGGCAGGACTAGGAAGGGCTCACTGGACAATAGGCCTGTTGTGTAGAAATATGTTTGTTTGTTTTTTCCTTTAAAATTGCCATCTATGTGAGCTCCACGTAAAACCAGCCCATGAAAGTGTTCACAGTTCCACAAGCTGTTGGGTGGCCGTGATGCCCCCAATATAGCCCAGACTGTTCACAACCCAGGATCACTGTGTAGATGAGAGAGGAAGTCAGCAATGCCATGTTTCTGTTTGTCATCCATTTCCTCCTATTCAACGCAAATACGTCTCAAGCAGCAATTGACAAACTTATGAGTTAGCAGAATATAAACATTAAAGGGTATAGCCAATGCCAGAAATGATGGAGGAGTCACTAGTAGAATTTCCATGAGGGAAAGGGAAGAATTACCCAATTGGCATTCCAATGAAAGGTTTCTGGAGTTGTTTATTTCCCCGGAAGCAGGCACTGACATAAGCCTCATTCATGGTGCTCATTCTCGGAGAGAAGGAAGGTGCCCATGGGCTGAGAGGTCCCCCCTGGGAAGAGGGCAGACAGTGCAGTGATTTGGGGACTGAGATACAGCACACCCCAGCCAGGCTAAGTGCACTTGCCTCCTGCTATTACATGTGCCCTAATTGTAATCTGGGCAAGATTTTTAAGTGCCCTGCAGGTGAGACCAATATTTTAAAACCATGTTTAGGTCACAAATGAAGTTTAACCTTTCTATATCCTTGAAGCCCTTTCTAATCTGTCTTTCTCATGAACTGTTGACAGCCCTTTGCAGTCGACATTATCAAAGCGTTAGGAATTGGGGTAGACTGCAGAGCTGAAATCACCAAAGGGATCTTACAGAAACTTTGGCTTTGCACTCTTGAATGTGCATTTAATCAGGTGAGAGAACCACCTTATTAAGTTAGGGCCTTATTCAAAGGGAATCAATACAACAATTCCATGGAATTAAACCTGTGATTGGGGTAGCAAGTCCAGAGCATTTTTTTTAAAAATGCAATGAATACAATAAATTTCAGATCAGTCTTGAGCAAGCTGAGTTTGCCCACTTTCCCATCTGATTCAGGTTGCACTCTTACTGTCTAGATGAGGATATAATTAATTTCCAGTTTCTTGGTATTCTGGAGAATTACAGATTCTGTAGAGAAGGAGAAGAATGTTTTCCAAGGCAGGGAGACAAGATGAGAATTGGCAGTGTGGTCAAAGAATCAAAGCCCTGAGGCATCTCAGTCCCCGTGGTTCCTGATTCTGAACGGGGAAGTGACTCACCTATTACAGCATAAAGGGTGCAAGACCAGTCATGTGGCATCCCAAAGCAGTTGCAACTTGAACCACTAAAGTGAATGAAGGCAGTCACTGTCGCCTCAGTTGATGGTAATCTCTAGACAGTGGGAAGGCCAAAGGGCTTAGGGCTGATAGCATTTCCTTGATATCCCCCTCTGGAGACTTGGGCCTTTGTAAATTACAACTCTGGGTGCTGAACATGCTCCAAAGCACCAGCACTTTCTCTGTAAGGTGACTAACTTTTACTCGGCTCCGTAGAAAAGGAACAGGATCATGGGTGGCATTTTATATCAGCATGAAATGGATTTCTTTCTCTCCCTTGATAAGGATTTCCTTTAAACCCCAAGCTAAAGCTTGGATTGGTTGCTTAACTAGCATTTCCTTTGGAAGAGCTTCAAAACAGCTCAGGTGTTTGCAGGGCTTCAGAAGGTGTGTCCTAGGCAGCGCCATCAACCCAGCTTCAAGCTTCTCTCCTCCTCTGCCCTCCAGACCAGGAAAAGCTGTAAGTGAATGAACTCCATTCCGTTGTGTGTAAATAAACCGCCCTGCCTAGGCCCCACCCCCCACTGCTAGAGCTGGAAAAGCCAAGGCTGTAGTTAGCTCTTGACCCTGCTCAGCTTGAGTTCTGTGCCGCCTCTACTTTGTGGTGTTTTCCTCTTCTCCCTACTGTTCTTTCCCTTATGCCAAAATGACTGAGGTTGCCAGAAAAACAGCCAGCACCCACAAGTAATGAGACACCTCTCTAGGCTGCTTTCTTTGGTAATCTCATCTATGACTGCTGCCTAGCTTAGTGTTTGGGGGAGGTTGCTTACAGTATTTTTGTTTGTAATGTGCTTTTAATATAGAAACCCTATTTTCTGTCCTCAAAAACCTGCTTTGTTTCCAAGCTTCTCCTACTTATTGCTACAGAGTAGTGGACCTGGCACAGATTTTCTTACCCTGGCCTCAGAGTACCTGCCCTGATGTCAGGGAACGTTTGGACAGCAATAGGCAGAAAAAAAAGCTCAAAGTGGGGATCTTCCTTCCTTGGGCAGCAGACCCTCAGTTGCAGGATTTTTTAATCCTTTTTTGTCTAGAGGAATCCCCTTCTCATCTCATATAATGGACAGACAAAATAATGAGATAGAAAGGCTTCATGTCATCACGGAAGGGGAGAGAAGAGCTTGTCTCCTCAAGAGCTCATATCTGCACATTTGTAATGCAGATACAAAGAAGTGGGAGGGGAGAAACTAGTCGTTGCGTTGTATAGAATAAATTATTTTAATTTTGTTGCCTAGCAAAATAACAAGTGGCAGATGCCTGCCTCAGTCCCCAGACAGCCCTTTGCATGATTACCATTAGATCCCATAGTTTTGCTGCTGAATGGGCCATTGGGAAATGCAGGCATTTCCCACATCAGCTAGAAAAATAACCATGCTGTACAAGGGAGTTCATTTAACCCCAGTGTTCCTGCCTGACAGGGAAGTTAGGAAATCTTCCTACTGCTTCCCAAACCCTATCCTCCCTTATAGGAATTTCTGGAAAACCTTTTAGTAGAGCAAAGAGAATTCTGCAATCCAGCTTTATTTTCCCCAGCCTTCCCCCAAGAGTCATCATAGATGATGATGTGTAAGTGTTTAAACACACACACACATATGCATATATAGGCTTAGTTTTACATATATAGGTAGATATTTATTTCTATATTGTGACCTAAATAATAATAACAATAATAACGAAGCTGTTTGTAAAGCTTCTGGTCCCTTGGTTCTGGAAGCCAAGGGAGCTTGTACACTGTGGAACCATGCTCCTGCTGACACTCTACCCTGCTCAGTTAGTGCCAAGGGGCACGGGTGGCTCTGGCCTGGCTTGGTGTCCTGGTCAGGGTTTTAAGGAAGCAGAGCAGCTCAGGGATAGCACATCTATGGGAGTGGAGACTTTTGGAGGGTGAGTAGCTCAGAAAATGAGCCATACACACCCCCAACTTCTGAAACTAGGCTTGAGAGCAGGAATGCAGGGGTTCTGTTGCTAGTGGGTGCCACAGAGAGCACTTTGGGTTAGGAGAGCCCAACCCCCCACCTTCCCACCATGGTGCTTCTCCCAGGCTTGTACATTGGCTCCAGTGGGTTGGTTACTCCATCTTCCACTGTCATTGGCATACAGTATTCTCTCTGGGACAGTGGAACATTCTTAAGCCTTCCCAAAAGCGGCCTTGCTAGGGCCTTCAAAGTCTGACTAGTGAATAGAGGGGCTCAGTTTTTTCCTGAGCCAGTCAGTGTAGGTTAGTCAGGGTGGGGACAGGAGGGGAAAGGCAGCAGGCCAGATTCCCCACAGCAACAGTGCCAGGGAGCCAGGGCAAGGAGGATTAGCTGTGCCCAGGGACACACCACCTGTCCACTTCTGCTGTTTACTTCTAGCCTTCCCTAAAGCCTTTATTTTTGCCCTTGTTTTTTAACCTGTGCTGTTGTGAGTTTTTGGTGTGTTTCTTTGTGAGTTTTTTCATTTGATTGTGTAACTTTGTTTTTGCCGTTACTGTGAAATCAAGGTGTTGTGCTTTTAATTTTCTTTTTTTTTTAAACAAATGTTACCATTCTTATTTAAGAGAATAAATTCCAAACAATCTTCAGGTTTCTGAGTTTTTCTTTTCCTTCCCCTTTTCCTAATTGGTGGGTGGGAATGGGGAGAAGCTCAGGCAGGTTTCTGGAGTGGGTCTGAAAGCTGTTGTGCCTCAGCACTCCATCACTTCTGGTACAGGGGTGGGGAGGTGGTCGGGGGAAAGCATAGATGTATTAAAAGGCAGGAAATAGGTTGTTCATACCTAAAATACAGATTCCCACTAATGGGAGGGTCCCTGTTTACGGGGCTTGGCATGTTGGAAAATGTTCTGCTTTATCACAGCTGGAGGTAGAGGAGAAGAGCAAGAAAGACGTCATCTGTGTCACACATCCTGCATTCAGTCAGCCAA